GAACACGAGCTGTTCGCGAACGAGCTTTTTTGACAACTCTACATGAATTACCAATATAAAAGCTAATTGTGCCGAATAAAACTAAGAAAACTTGACAATACTCGCAAAAATCAAATTTTAAGCGATGATATTTAGTGCATTATTATTATTATTATTTCTAACAATACTAAACAAACAATCTCCAGGAGTGAAAAAAAATTGTTCAGCATATGATTTTGCAGTATGTAAGGGAACTAACATCAGATTCTGACAAACAAAATATTTTCAGATTTTCTTTCAATAAATAGTGATATCTCCCTCAACCAAAGAATGATTAATACAGGTATTTTACTCAACTTGGCAGGAAAATTAACGGTGGCAAGCTATGAAAGCTTCATTTAACAAACATGCCAGATTGTAAACATTTCAACTATGCAACAATTCTATAGCAGCATCCACAACTCCTTTTCCTTCGACAGACATATCAAGGGCTGGGAATTCAATTTTCCGTTGCAGAAGGCTGTCAAGTTCTCCTCTCAATCTCTGTTATGTCAAGACATTTAAGCAAGTATAGAAATTACTATAAGGGCATAATATAATAATCACTTAAAAATTCAACATGAAGAGAGTGGCCAGCTTAACTATGAGAAATTTTGTTTCCCAAAAGTGATTATAATTTCATTTTGCTCCTTAGCGTCTTTTATCTGGAGTATTTAATACCTACTTAAACCATGTTCCCTTTAAATACCACATTACAAATTCATCATCTTTGACGAACTGACATGAAGAAGACAAAGTTACTTTAAGCCTGAAAAAGTCAGTTATTAGTTAAAACTTCAAGTTTTTATTTATTTTTTATTTTATTTTTTTGCATTTAATATTTTTAGGTGCTAGAATTTGAATTGTTGAGGCACGGCTTTAGAGGCACGAGACTATGTAATGGGGCTTTGATCTAGTAATTGCAGCATAATCTTGGACTAGAGGCACGAGACTATGTAATGGGGCTTTGATCTATTGCAGCATAATCTTGGATTTGAGAAGTGCCTGACGGTGATAATCCCCAATGGACAAACAAGGCTTTAAATTTAAGGAGTATATTTTTATTTTGATGAAATCCCCTAGGGTTATGATTTTGATAACTAAACCATTATTAAGGAGCAAAACGTTTTTTGTGGCTGGGAGCTTTGATTATATCAATATTGCTTTTAGCTATGATTTATGACAACTAAACACATCATTGAGCTTAGAGGGCCCTGGTATCGTCTTCAAAAGCAATCTATTAGACACCCCTTTGATTATGTTGTACAATGACCATGCCTACTATAAAGATAACAAACCATACAATTTAATGTTCAACCAAACAGGGTTAAGAAATTTGATCCATCCATAGGCTTATTATATCGTTGGAAAATCACTTTAGTTCATATTGTCGTACCACGTCGAATTAGAAAAGTTATAAAACACCAAGTTCGACATTATGTAGGGACCATCCCACAAGGTCATCTTTTGACTTGTTTATGATAAATGTTGTCATCAACTCGACCACTTTCATGCATGTTAAGGTTTCGACATTATGTAGGGACCATCCCACAAGGTCATCAACTCGACCACTTTCATGCATGTTAAGGTCAGCTATCATTATTCAACTCGACTTTAAACAGGTAAACTGGTTATTCTTTTACTTTCGCATAATGAGGCTTTGAGAGCATTGAATTCTTCTTGCCTGATTTTACAAGAGTTTTATTTACTTGAAGAGTTTGATACACCAACGGTTTTACAATTTTTATTTAGTTGAATATCAAAAATAATAATCAAGGTAGGGGGTGGGGTGGGTGGAAGCCACATTGACTAGCACAAAATAGATTTTGTATTGTTCTATTTATTTTATAAAATAGTCATAAAGTGAGTCAGGTTAGCTCTGTCAAACGTATGCATATAAGTGGATCAAAGCAAATTTAATATTTTTCCTGGTATATAGACCTTAATTTGTATTGAGTTATTAATATTTTTGGTATTTACAGTGTATAAGCCAAATATAGGTTTGTACATTTCTAATTAGTCCCTGGGAAAGTTTGAGGCATTGTATATAGATTGAGAAATAATCAATGATTTTTAAAGCTAATTTTATTTTTCCTGATTTGTTTTCTTTTCTTTTAGAAATATTAATGATTTTCCAAAAATTTAGCATTTTTTTGCCAATCTTTTACTGCATCTATTATCTAGAAAGTTTTTATATTCATCTAGTTTTACTCACCTTTGTTGTAATTCAAAAAAAATGCCTCATTTTAGACTCCTCAATTTAAATTTTTGTGCTCAACCATAGATCGCTTGGATGAATGCAAACGAAATTCAAAGAATAAAATAATTTTGCACATTTTAATATGAGACATAATTTGAGTTAAATTTACATTTAAAGATGTATTTTATTTCAAAATTTTTCTAATCCTAATTTCAATTCTTTTTATTTGCAAGGAACTGCAAATCCTTACATTACATTTAATTTGATTCATATTTTGAATTGATGCATGCATTCTATGCCTTCTTTTAATTCATTTTTTGTTTGCAAGTTTGTCTATGTATGCCTCAAAAAATTGTGTCAAATGCATTTTTTATCCTTGAAAACTTTTGACAACACTTTAATGTCACAAACATGAGTACACTGAAAGTATTTTAGGTCTAGCCAAAATGCCAAGAAATATGAGTGATGCAATGCATGAGGCAACACAGCCTAAACAAATTTTCCCACAACACTAGGAAGAGTATTAATATTCACTGGAGTATTCCTACAAAAATAAAACAATAAAATAGGACAATATTTTTCTCACCACACGAAGAGCACTATAAGGTTTCTATTTAGCAACCACATGACAATTTGTAATTTCTCCATAAGGTTTTAATGTGGACCCTTCCGAGATTGTCGGACTTATCAACTTACTGAGATTACAATTAGCTCTAACAACGAAATAGTGGTAAATATAATCTCAACACTAAGGTGTCCAACCTCCATAAATCATTTTGAACTTTTATACTATATATCATAAGTCTACTCTCTCCCCTTCTTAATCTTATTAATTCATTTAATACGTGCACTTTTTTAGACTATGCTACACAAACCACCAAAAGCTTATTTTCAATTACTAGAATTTCATTAAATATCACTCCAACCACAACACTAATAAATCATTGTTATCATTATCATCAAATTTTTCTCAACTATTTGATTTCATAAATCCTCATTTTTTTATTTGTTTTTATCGAGTATTATTTAAGTTAAACTATTTGAACAACTTCCATCTGACTAATCTTAAGTCTAACCCTTCTCATTCACAATTCTTTTTTGCTTTTTGCATTAAACAAGTGAATTTTATACCTTTTGTTACACATGCCATACAAAAAAAATTTTCAATTAATTTATCTTCAATAGATGTTACTTCAATCATTTATCTAATAAAATAATTTTTTTATTTGGTATTACCACAAATTTGCCTAAACATTTCTACTTTTGTCATTCTCAACCTAGATATCAGTGATAATTTTAAAACCTAAACTTACATGCATATGGAAAGAACTATCTAATTAAATAATTTCCTAAAATTTACTTTTCAAGTATCCAAGATATCCTCTTATAGCAAATATAACTCTTAAAACACTTTTCAATTTTAATCTAGTATTAACTTTGTTGGCCATATCCTCATATATATCTCCATTATTCTGTATAATAAATAAAAAAATACTTCCATTAAACAGATCCAAAATTCGCACTCTTCTAATAATGTTAAATGATAACTATTACAATCACACCAACTTAAATCATTTACTCAATCTTTATTCTACTAAATTTAAGTCACTTATCTTATAAATATTTTATGCACTATTCAAAATACATATATTTTGATAGATATCTTACCAATTAGAACTATATCATCCCTAAAAAGCATACATAAAAGAACAAAAAGGAACCTCACATTGAATAATCCGTTGCAACCAACTTCATAATCAAAGCAAAAAAAAAAAAAAAAAAAAAAAAATTGCATAATGATGAACTATACTCGAATTTATCATATTTGAAAACTCCTCGGCACTCTACAATAACTTCTAAAACTAATTAAAGCTCCATCAAACTTATATATGAATAACGTTAACATAAGTTTGACGCAACTCTTTATGCCTTTATGTGCATCAAATCAATTCTAATGATACTTTGATCATATGCTTCATTAAAATCAATAAACATAAAATGAAATCCTTTATCTATTATTCTATAGTACAACTTCCAATGATGAAACTAAATTGATTATACGAAACTAACACAACTTTTCTCATTCTGAATTCATTACTCTTATATGGCTTTTCATTGTAAGATTTATAACTTTCAATCTTCTACAATTAGCACAATCTTGATCATCAATTTTGTTCAAAACTATTGATACAAAAATACTTCTTTAAATAAATTGACATCCTCTTAATCTTCAAAATTTCTTAAGGAACTAATTAATCAAAATAGTGATATCACCCATAACTCTCCATATTTCAACAAAGTAACTTAAATGGACGAAAATACTTAAATAAATCTTTGGCACTGACTCGACTTTAGTTGTTTGAATCAATATATTATATATTTCACTACGTAATTCATCATGCATTTTCTAAACAAATTTTTCTCAAATCCCATTTTTAGTATATTTTCAAAATGAATCTCATATCTTCATACAAGAACAAGCCTTCATCCCACAAAGTGGTGTCGGCTACATGAATCATTTTTCCCCATTTTGTCCTATGATTAAATCTAATAAATTAAGAACATTTTTTATAGAATATGCTCAAGTCTTTTAAGGTATACCCCTGTTTTTCTTAACATAAGTCGAATCTAAAGCATCTACTCTCCTAATCGGATCATCAGATAGTCGATGTTTAATTTGACCAAATCATCAAAGATGACTCTCTCTAATCCTGTCAACCACTGGAGTTGCACCAACCCTATCATAGATATATTCATTTCATATTTTGTCTCTACGTGTCAAGCCATAAATCCACCTAAGAAACACTAAACTTTGTTTTATGCTTCTCTTTTAAAGCTAACATTCTGTGCCATAAGCATTGCAGGTCTCACCACCATCTTATAAAATTTTCCATCAAGTCTAAGCTATACATTTATATCACATAATAAGCCTGATGCATTCCTCCATTTCAACCAACCAACTCGAATTCTACTAATAACATCCCCATCTATATCACTGTCACTTTGAGCAATAGACCAGAGATATCTAAGACTTTCACACCTTTTAAAGATTTGATCACTCATAGTTACAACTCTGCCACTAGAGCTACTATTACTAAAATTACATTACATCAATTTAGTTTGAGATTAACACAAATGAAGGCCTTTAGACTCCAACGTAGACCAACATAAATCCAGTTTTTCCTTAATTATTTCTCTAGTATTATCCACAAGAAGGGTATCATAAGCAAAAACCATACAACAAGATACATCCTCTTGTAAATGTCCAGTAAGAGCATCCATAACTAAAGCAAAAAGATATGGGCTTAAAGTTGACCCCTTATGTAATCCCTTGTTGACCCCTTATGTAATCCAACTGAAATAGGAAAATACTTGGTCAATCCTCCTTTTGGTTGAAAACAAGTAATAACTCTAGTGTACATATCTTTAATTACTTGAATATAAGTCATATCAATTCTTTTTTTCTCTAAAACTCTCCAAAGAACTTCTATTGGAACCTTATCATACGCTTTTTATAAATCAATAAAAATCATATGTAGATCATTCTTACTCTCTCTGTACTTTTCCATCAAATCTCTCAATAAATGTATAGCTTTCATAATAGAACTCCAGACATAAATTCAAAATTGATTATGAGAAATCTTTGCATCACGTCTTAACCTATGTTTAATTATCCTCTCCCATAATTTTAAGGTAAGATTCCTTATCGCCTTTATTCTTAAAAATGGGACCAAAATACTCTTCCTCCACCTCTCAGGCATCTTTTTAGTTTTAAAAATAAAATTTAATAGCTTCTCCTCCACCTCTCAGGCATCTTTTTAGTTTTAAAAAAAAAATTTAATAGCTTCGTAAGCCAAGAAACTCTCAAATCTCCTAAAAATTTCCACACTTCAATTGGAATATCATCAGGTCTTACTGATTTTTCACCTTTAATTTTCTTTAAAGCCTTTTGAGCCTTTTTTTACTAATGCGACGGTAAAAATAAAATATTTTATTATCGTTAACGATATTAAGATAACTAAGGTCGATCATATTTTCAGATATTTCATTGAAAAGTTTATAAAAATAGCTCACTCAACTATGTTGAATATCTTCATCAAGGAAAACGCTCTTTAATTTTCATCTTTAATGCGCTTTACTTGAATTAAATCTTTACTTTAATTTTTTCTTTGTTTGGCTAGTTTATACATATTTTTTCATCTTCTTAGTATCTAGTCTATTATAAAGATCACTGAAAGCATAATTCTTAGCGTCACAAATTGTTCTCTTAGACTCCCTACAGGCCACCTTATACTTTTTTTCTAATTTTCTAAGCTTTTACATTTAAACCATTTTTTATAAAACTTCTTATAATTTATCTTTTCTTGCACATTATTTCTTATGTTTAACTAAAATCTTATAATCTTAAGTTTGAATGCATCTAGCTTAATCTAGGTTTCCAAATCTTTAATTTCATAGCTATTCTTCATGTCTCGTTTTCACTTTCTTGGCAACAAGACATAGTACCGAGAAAAGTTAACTTTAGATAGCTAGGCCAAATACAATAAGAAATTATCCTCTAAAAGAACAAATAATGCAACTCCTAATCAATAAATGGCCAGAGAAAAATACCAAATGCCAAACTAAAATCATGTGGATTTGATTGATGTGTTATGATAAAAGAAATTCATAAAAATTATAAAAAGAAATGCAAATGCGTTCACCTGAATGAGTTGTCTCACACTCTTAGGGGCGGAGAAATGCAAGTATCCTCCTAGCATTTCAATCCCCTCGCCAGTTTTGCTAGGAATTAGGCTGCCACCAAAGAGGAGTAAAGCATAATCCGAAATATTTGTTGAATCCCTAATAAAAATTGATGTAGTTTTAACTTTTTCACTATAAGCCATATAAGGCAGGGGAAAAGAGTGGATCCTTGCATTGACGGAAGATGGATGGATTTCCACTTTTCCCACATCTTTACTGTAGAATGCTGTCCTCTTCCCTCTTCTCTTGCATTGAATGACATTAGGAAAGAGTCCAGCACACAATATGGCACGAACCATCTCAATGTCACCTCCATAAAGGTTATATGCCTGAAATAAGGTACCACTAGATTGCATTAGACATCAAAGATTACAAGAATGCGTAAAACATCAAATTACTTGTTTTTTGAAGTGTGTTTTTTTATGTAAAGAAAAATTAGCCCATAAAACAATGATTAATAAAACAAAACATGTTGGCAAGCATAATGCAACAAAATTTATACAAATTTTAAATCATTCAATGGAGCAAGTGCTTAAAATAAAAAATGAAAAAAACACCAAGTAAGTTGTATGATATAGATTATTGAATATAGAACTTTCAAGTTTATTCAATTCAAAAGAAAATAAAAACTAGCATTTTAGATAACCATGCCTTTAAAATGTTTGAAATAAAAACTGCAAATTTCAATATAAGAAATAAAAACAAATTTCAGCCACATGAAATTTACCAACAATATGTAAATCAAAGGTTATGCCTTTTTTGCATTCACGATAATTATCTTTAAAATTAGAGTTCAGAATAGCATCGTTCAAGAGGCAACAATAATTACCAATTGCATGGACAATTTTTCGGAGTAGATGACAACTTAGGATACCATCAGTAACATAAAATGAAAGGAGGAAAAAAGTGGTATATAAGCTGGCACTATCATTTCATTAAAAGCTTAGATACTGAAGAAATTGACACTCAGTTGCTAAGTATTACCGTGCATTTCTACAAAATGTCCAGCACACAAAACAAGTAAAAAATATATTAAACCTAACAAGATTCATGTAATAGTATCAAATAGTTCATCATAAATAGCCATATTCTAGGCCATAGAATTTAAAGCTTGAAAAACCTTGAAAAATTGGTAACAAATTGGCCATCATCAAAATAAGATACAGAAGTGATGTAAAACAAGTGGTTGATAAGCTTTTGAAAAGATCACAAACTATGACACACCAACTTGCATGAATCAAGTAATTAAATAATTCAATTACAAGGTGAAACTTTAAAGCAAGGTGGTCAGGATAGCACTGGCCAGCTTCCCTAATTCAAATCAGGTTTGGTTGGCCTCCTCTCCTCTTTAAGCTATCAATAAAAGTCAAGTTTCTGGATACGCTCATCCGACAATTGAAGGAGTATTAGAACTATATGGTTGGCCGCTCCCTCCCTTTCATTTTATATTTTGAATTAAGATATTATTAAGGGACTTATATTCGAGAGATAATTTTAATTGGACTTGATTATTTAATAATAAATTAATATTTTTGCTTATTTCAATTTGAAACCTCTACTTGCTTGGATGGCTTGGTCAGTTTTAGCTGAAGGCATGTAGTGAGGACTCGTTTACTATCGCTTCTCAACTCCTAACATTTGATGCCTCTATATCTCTCTACACACACATCAGACCCTAGAAGCGAGACTAGTTCTGGTTCTCATCATCTAAAAATTAAAACCGAAATTCGGAAGCCCTCAATTTTTAGCCTTCCTGTAAACACTATTCCACCTCTAAGTTACCTCTAGTCTCTTCTTCTCTCCCATACAACAGCTCCACAATAGCTCTTGGCAAAGTTACTTTGTCCACTAAACTCGAATACTTTCATTCAACGCTACATAAATCCCTTAATGCAAAATATCTCTCGATCACCAAAATAAACTGAAAAAGACCTTACCCAATTAACATATATCCTCTCAAAAGTCCTAATTGGATAACAAATGTAAGATTTACCTTTTCAATTTATCATATCAGAAACATTCGTACTTTATTTTGAAAGCAAGAATTTCTTTCCATGTTACTTTCTATTCTATAAAATTTATATGCAATCCTGTAGAGGACTCCACTATTATAGTACCTAGCATAAATTTATCAACCTATAATTACTTGAGATCTCTTGTTGTTTTGGGTGTGTGCTCCACCAAGAAATAGACCTATGAATTGTCTAAAATTCATAATAATCTGAAATTAACTTGCTTTGTTATTCAAAGTAATCAACATTGAGGGCAAATTTAGCAAAGCTTTTTCTACATGACTGCTTAAGCATGCAAGAAGATCAAAATTTTTAGCATATATTTCATATCTTTGGAGGTGTCTTCAATTGTAATTAATCTTAAGAAATATACTCTCATTGAGAGAATAATTATTCTTAAATTCCCTATTTGATTTTAAATTTACCTTGATGGCATGACTTCTCATGATTATTTTACAGACGTTAAAACAACATTTGCGGGGGGTCTTATCTCACTAGACTTCTTCCCTTCTCATTTTACAGAATCTCCTACATGAGAAAAACGCCCTTACATTATCACTACATGTTTCGCTTTGACGCTAGTATGTTTAACCTAACCTTGTTGACTCCTAAGAACAATGAAGCAATCAAAATATGAGTAGATAACTAAGCCCTCAATAAAATATTCATCAAAATTAGCCTCAAACATTAAGATATGCTTGAATTAATGTATAGCACCAAAATTTTTCCAAAATTTACTAAAGATTAGATGGCATCAAATTAGTTCATGGTTTAAAAATGAGTTAAAAATTGCTTTCAATCTTTTACATAACCTAACCTTGTTGACTCCTAAGAACGATGATGCAATGAAAATATGTGTAGATAACTAAGCCCTTAATAAAATATTCATCAAAATTAGCCTCAAACATTAAATGATATGCTTAAATTAATGTATAGCACCAAAAATTTTTCCAAAATTTACTAAAGATTAGATGGCATCAAATTAGTGCAAGGTCTAAAAATGAGTTAAAAATTGCTTTCATTTTTTTACAAAAATAAACGATTAAAATTTTTATTCTATTAAAATTATATGAATGGTTAATGATGCCTTTAATTCATCTACTTGGCTAAACACATTCATTGAGATTAAAAAAATATTGTACTTAAGCTTTCCAACTAAATTTCTAAATAAAATAATCTTTGGCAATAATGAGAACACTATGAAACATTTAAGATTAATGAAAAAAAAAAACTGAGTGAGGAAACTATATCACAATTTGAATAAGTGTTTCTTTTTTAGCAAGTGACTTTTCTTGAAGCTTTTGTTGTTTCATTTTATGTCCTTCAACCCGCTCAACAAAGATAAAAGCAATCACTAATTTACCAACTCGTAACACTTTTTATGTTAAGAGCTTCCAAGCATGAAACCGTTCTAGGGCTCCTATAAGGTGCTTTTGAAAGGGAATTTAGCGGAGAGGTGGTTGTGAAACAGCGAGATAATCATAATATGTGAGTTTGAGAGCATTCAGACGGGCCTATCCTGGTAGAAAACAACAAAGAGAACCACAAACGACATGACACGGATGTCGAGAATGTTCAACACATGTTCCTGCACAAGTTACAAATGCACCACTTGCAAAAGGAAAATGATACATCACTTCTAATGATAGAAAATTAAAGATATAATCTCTGAAACACAAAAAAGCCAAGTCTTCCAAAAAAAAATAATAATAAAACATATAAATAATATCATAAAAAAATACCCAATTAAAAATAAGAAAATAGAAAATAAATTAGAAAAAAGAAGAAAATTTGGGCTGAAATTTAAAAATTTTGACAACACCATTGTCTGTGGTCATAGGATGTCCAACTATCCTGCGAAATCCAACATTCGCGGGCTTGATTCCACATCATGCGGGATCACGCGGTCCCCGCCAAATGCTTCAGAATCAATCTTCCAGAGTAGGAGAGGTGTTTTCTTCTTCTTTGGAAAAACCTGAATCCCACTATCGATCGTTCATTCCCAAAAAGCGGCTAACGGGATTTCCAAAATCGCAGGTCAGCCCTCGTTTCTAACCATTTATCTATGGCTGCATTGTTGAACTAAATTAAATCTTTGTGCCTATCATACCCAATAAAGTCCTCCAAAATATGCCAAAAACTTTCGCATATCTGTCTGCATAATGCTCCTAGGTATACCATGAAGTTGAGCTACTTCTTTAAAGTATAAATATGTAATATGTGATATGTCTATTGTCATGTTATATGGTCCACTAAAATCAAGACAAAACCATTATATTGTTATGTTTGAGACAATTACACTATAAAAATTAAGCTCATGTCCATGCTAGACAACTCTAAACCACATAAGTCATTCCAAATTCTATTCTAATAGAACAAATAGTCAATCATTCTCTGGCACAATCAAAACTAGAGCTACATCTGGGATATTAATCTCATGAACCAAGCATTTAACAACTAAGTGTGTAACATATTTTTGTAACTTCACATAATTGGTTTTTTGTATCACATAGGCGAGTTGGTTAGGCAGAAAAATATCCTAGAATGAGGTGAATGACATGTTGAACCTCTATTGGTGGTAGCCACCCAAGAGATAAATTGTTAGTCAAGATATCCGATAAATCTCTTAACAAGGATTGCCCCTTTTCTAGTATCAACCATTGGGACACACTATCTTCTAATAGTCAAGCAAGAGTTTTTCTTATGGGCTCAACTTAAATCACTAGCAAATCTTTTTCATCGGCGGGAAGCAGATACACCTCTATAACATCATCTTCTTATGTGTCAATGTCAATTTCTTCAATTGCTCATTCACAACAACAACAACAAGCCTTTATCCCATGAAGTGGGGTCAACTAAATGAATCATTTTCTCTAATGTGTACTATTGAGTGTCGTATTTTCATTTAATTCTAATAGATTAAGATATTTTTATACAATATGCCCAAGTCTTTTTAGGTCTACTTTTGCCTTTCATAACATAAGTTGAATCTAAAACATTTATTCTTCTAACTGGATCATCAGATGGTTGACATTTAATGTGACCAAACTATCTAAAAAGATTCTCTCTAATCTTGTCTAGAACTAGAGCTACACCAACCCTTTCAGGGATAGATTCGTTTCGTATTTAATCTCTAAGTATCAAGCTGCTCATCCAGCTAAGCATTTTCATTTCAGGAACACTTAACTTTGTTTTATGCTTATATTTTAAAGGCCAACATTCTGCGCCATAGGGCAATGCAGGTCTTACCACCATCTTATAAAATTTTCTTTTAAATCAAAGCAGTACGTTTTTATCACACAATAAGCCCGATGCAT